AGAGGCAAAAGATACATATGTTAATTTAAGGAAAGCTAGCAACAAACAAGGTAAGACCGGGCATTCATAAGTAAGAACAAGCCTCTGTGAGTGATGTATTTGGGAGCTGGGTGGCGGGGCCCCCCAAAAAGAGCCAAAACAAACAACAACACCAGGCTTTTCTCCAGGGTCTAGAAGTTGGACCCAAGATAGTTTTTACATGTGTTGTCCACACATCTCAGAGCAGTCAGGTTCCAGCTGGGTATCCCAGAGCTGTTTCCCCACACCAGAGACAGTGACCTGGCTAACTACCGGAAACAGTGTGAAGGTCATCACTGCAGCATCCCCCTCCAGGAGCTGAAAATAGTATTTCCTCACAGTCTGCCTCTTCAATTTGTGATACAAGTGAAGACTTGTCAAAGCTTGCCTGATAGTTAAGAAAGCAGCTCTAGAGCTTCTGGGCCACCTGAAAAATACCGATTTTGCTCAACCAGCTGTGGATACCTTCTCTTCGGGGAGAAGGGAACAGGAAGAAAATCTCAGTCTTTGCCATGCTGTTCATTTCTGTGCAAAACATGACTGGCTGATTCTGCATATCCCAGACGCTCATCTTTGGGCAATAACTGCGGGGAGTGTCTGCAATCCACCTATAACAAACAGCACTTTGATCAAACCTTAGAGGCTTCCACCTGGCTGAAGAATTTCAAAACTCCAGATGAGCACTTCCTGAGCCAGGCAAAAGTTCAAGAGAAGTATGTTTGGAATAAGAGAGAAAACATTGAGAAAGGCATTCCTCGGGGAGAAGTTGTTGACCTAACACGAGTGAGGCCTGCCACAGATGCCTTTGGGACTGCACCGAAGGAGCTAAGAAGGCTCTTTTACCTCCTAGTGGCAGCGGGCATTGAGGGAATGCCCTCTGGGGAGGGCCCAGGCTGAAAAGAGAAGGTTTTTCCCTGATTGCCCTAGAGGATCAGCCCTTGTCCACAGCCTAAGGAAAATGGGGAAAAATGATTGGCATGGAGGTGCAATCATGTTGAATTTGAGTCAAACACGGTCCCTCTTTAAGTCCCAAACAGTCAGCCCCAACAGAAGAGGGAGGAAGGAGCTGAGGTCCCACCATGTCCAGCAGATGGGCAACACTCCCACCACATCCAGCAAATGGGCAATACTCCCACCATGTCCAGCAAATGGACAACACTCCCACCATGTCCAGCAAATGGGCAATACTCCCACCATGTCCAGCAAATGGACAACACTCCCACCATGTCCAGCAAATGTGCAATACTCCCACCATGTCCAGCAAATGGGCAATACTCCCCACAACGTCCATCTGCAGATGTTCCCTACCTCCAGCTCCTATGATCTTTCTCCCCCCTCTTCTGCAATATCTCTGAGCTGTGGGAAGAGGAGTGTGCTATAGAGTTACCATTTAGAACTGAGCACTCCACGATCTCTTATTTTCTGAATATTAACCAGTTGTTAGTCTATATGAATCACCAATGACTGCAAAAGGAGCCTCTCTGATAAGAGTTGAGAGAGGTCTTAATCTATGAGTATAGAGATGAAAACGTAGGAGCAATTTATTACTATGTCCATTTAGGAGAATAATAGTATTAGGTTCTCCCACTAGGACCTATGTCCTAGCCAGCTACGGGTTTTTGGCCCAGTTAACAGTACCAGACATCTATCTTTATTTCTACAATAGCGGGAGACCAGTGGAGAGTATTTCTCAGAGCATCTGGTGGGGGGGTTCCATGGTTCATCTTAATTCAGAACTAAGACACCTTCAGTGTCTCCGAGAGGAACACTATGGTTCTCTCTTTAGTTACAAAGCAAGTGATAGGTGACCTCATCATCCCAGATCAAAGACAAAGCTGTGTCTGCATTCATGTGAGCACATTCTGTGCCTGTGCATGTGTGTGTGAGCATGTCTATGAGCTGGTATATGTCTCTACTTGTGTAGTGGGTATTTGTTCCTGTATAACAGATGACCCAGTACACCTAGCTACTCACGTGTGTGTGTGTGTGTGTGTGTGTGTGTGTGTGTGTGTGTGTGTGTGTGTGAGCAAAAATTCTGCACATTCTTGGAATAGTTACATGCTGTGGAAAGTTGTTAACGATCGAGTTATACCAGGACAACATTGTCAAACACATGAGGAGAAGGGCAACAGAGAGGCCATCAATATGTAGCTACTGCGGTGCCATCAAAGGATAAATGTGGGGGGCTCACAGCACGGCACTCAAAATATACAGAGATAAGGCCTTACGTGTGGGAGACTCGGGTCTCAGCTCCTGAGCTCCCACCATCCTTTCCCACTCCTGTGAGCACAGTGTCTGGGATTCTGACACCAAAGTCACCTGCCTCTTGTCTCCAAGGTTCATTGTCCAGATCTCAGCCCCTCAAGAGCTCTAAGGAAATAGGATCTTACAAACGAATATTTCTATGCTCTGGTTTTTGGTTCCATTCATAAAATACAAAATAAAGGCTGGTTTCCTATGTCTAATGAGGTCACATGGAAGAATGAAGCTATCAAAACCATCTTTGAAGACCTACCAAATGATGGGGCAGAAATTTAAAAAAAAAAAAAAATTGGAAATCCCAGACATGAATCAGGACATTCCAGGGCTTTGAGGGCTCCTCCTCACTATGGATCTTCTGATGTGGCTCCCACATCCCTGAGAGGTTTCAGTGACACTAAGTACTCAGAACAGTAGCACACAAAGTAGGCATGACAAGCCAAACCTCAAGTGTGTGCAAGACAGACTCACACCTGATCAATGCCTAGAACACTGGGTGAAGGGAGCGGGACACCGACCAGCAGTAAAATATCTTGTTACAGAAGGGAGGAGGTGATGACTTTAAGCACACAGCCCTCTCATTTTCCTTCCACAGCAAGAAGACTCACACACACAGGGCTTCTAAACTATTAACCCTGTGCAGGTGACCTACAGGCCTGGGCCCACTGAGGAGATACAATTCTGGACAGTAGCACCCAAAGATTTGTGACAAATCACAGCTTTCAAGACAGAATGAGTGGACTCTGGTTGTCTTCTGTGTCTACATACTATGTCCATTGAAGTGTTGTGGGAATTCGGTCCATTCGGCCAGTGGTATAGGGGTAACAGGCCTAGGGGGCGTCTTCTCTGGGTATGTGAGCAGATAAGAACTTGAGGAGGAGGGTCAAGTTCTCTCTCTGGAACCTGGAAGGTTTCTTGACCCCACGGATTGGTGAGCTGGTACTGAGCTTTCCCCACCCTTCCCTGGTAGACGAGGAGGTGGCAGCACCACTTCATTCTATATTCCTTGAGTATGTTATTCCCATTTCATCCCTTAATAAATTATTGACCATACTTCTGTGGGTTCTCATTTCAGAAGTCCTTCCTGCCCAACGAACTGTGAGTTGCCTGATGTCCAGTCACTGAATTCCACTCTACCAAGGAGGGTCTCTACCAAAGAACGTAAGAGGGAAAACAAATACTGACTCTGAGATAAAGGGACATGTTGCCCTTGCATTCCTGAGCTGGAATGCTGGACTCACTGAGATACAGAGCTCTGAATCCCTCCCAGTAACTCTTGTCTTCCCAGGCACCTGCTTAGTGCCACCACATAAAGAAAGCAGAACACAGAAACAGCCTGTTAGTCTCCCAAAGCATGAACTAAAACCTGAAAAGATGTGCACCAGCTGAGGTTCAATGTGGGACAGGCTCCGCTCTGCTGGTCACCCTCGTCTCATCCCTATCCAGAGAGAATTTGCCAGACTTCACCAAGAGGACAGTGGCTATGACTACTGAGCTGTCCTAAACCTCTGAAAGCAACATGGCTCCTCTCCATGCTCACCACATCACCTTTTTCTGAGAAAATCCTCCTCCTTTCCTTGATGGGAATATCACATAGTTGTTGGTGCTTCTGTGACATGCCAGAACACCCTGTCTCTGGTTCCCGTCAGAAGTTCACTGTCTGTTCAATGACTCCAGGTGTTGGGAAACTGTAATCTCCTCCATCACCTGGATCAGACACCTTCTCACTGAGACACGTGATGCAGGGCCAGGGTTCTGAGCAGCCATTCTTCATTGCTCCTGTGTTCTCTTGTCTGAAGACTGCTGATTGGTGAGATTGCAGCAAACAAGGAAGAGGACAGAGAGCAAACCCAGTGGGCGAGGCCACCGTGAGGGTCTGTAGACAGCTAAGCCAGACTCACTGGGTTTGAAGTGTGGGGGGAACATCATGTTCAGAGGATAAATGTGTTAAGCATGTAAAACAAAATTATCTGTAGCTTGTATAAGCAGCCATGAGGAGGTTGCTCCTACTTCGAGTGTATCGTGTCACCCGACCAGCGATGGACCACTTCCTGGTACAGTTAGGCTATTAATAAAAAGAAAAAGGCTGATTGTTGGACATTTCACAGCCTCAGCTATTCCTACAAGGTAATGGGTCACAGGTTAAACAGGCTAACCGCTAAGGTCTGCATTTTATGAGATGCTTGCTTGGATACTTGAAGCATCTGCAGGAATACTGTTACAAGATCAAGCTTTGCCCACACCCAGAATGGGATAGGAGTTAATTTGGCTCCCAAAAATTATAACTTTGTAGGATTTTTTTCTTTATAATTCTTAGGGTAGCAACGGTCAGGGCTTTTCCTGGCGAACTCCCTCTGGTTTGGTCTTCGCTGATCTCTTTTTAATTAAAAGCCTCTAATTTATTAAAACCAAACCTTAAGACAGACCAGTAAATCTCTAAACGACACAGGACCCACAAAAAAAGGAGAGCTTGTCCACAGCTAGGCGCCAACACCTGAGTTAGCATTCGCCAGTGGGGAAGGCATGGGGTCAGACCCAGAGTCTCTACCATGAACTGTGCTTCAGACTTAATAAGGCCAACCTCAAACAGCTTAACCCATCTGTGACCTTCTCTAAAGGACCTCCCTATTGTTTCAAGAAAAGCAGCCATTTCTAGGAATAGAAACTAAAACCAACTCTGACTGCCACCCTTCCGCGGGTGGTTTAGATAAAAAGAGCTCAGATCCAGCCAGAAAAGTATAGACAGCAGGGGCTGTGTGTGGACCAGGACCGATAAAGTAACTGGGGGAAGATCAGGCTCTCCATCCCAAGTGCTCCTCCGTTCTTGGTGCAGTCCTTCCTAGGACATCAGAACTCCACACCTCACTTCTTTTCTTCCTGAACATCCTGAGTCTGAATTCCAGTTCTAGATCATTCCGAGGGGACTGACCCTGCTGGAGTGCAAAGACCTTCCCTGAGAGGAGAGCCTTCAAGAGGTGCCATTGCCATCAGATCAAGGTCACCACTGCTGAGGTAAGTGAACGGTTTCAAAGTTCAGCTTGGCCAATAACCTTACCTGTGTGATAACATGAAGAGTGGAGCACTGAGCCAGGAGGTGGTGGCACACGCTTTTAATTCCTGCACTCGAGAGGCAGAGACAGGTGGATCTCTGTGAGTTCGAGGCCAGCCTGGTCTACAAAGTGAGTTCTAGAGTAGCCAGGACTGTTATACAGAGAAACCTTTCTTGAAAAAAACAAAAAAAGAAAAGAGAGGAGCACTAAACTTGGGCAGGAGAGCTTGGGGATTTCTACTCGGGGAGCATTCACAGCAGCATCCTTCTGGGGCCATCTTCTGTGCCGCAGAGAATTCCGAAGCAGAGAAGCAACAGCCCTTCCCTCCACCTGCTTGTCCTGGGCTTTGCTGGTTTTCTGAAGTAGTCAAGTTTGGAGACAGACAGCAGATTGGGCTACCCAGATGCTCTTGGAGTTGATGCTGTAAGCTCCTCATTTACCCATGAAGATAAAATCCCAGATCAGCAACAACCACAGACAGTCTCTGGCAGGTCAGGTTGAGCCCTCTGGCTTTCAGAGATTCCGCTGCTCTCAGGCACTTATTAGTCTGATGAGTCCACCTTTATAGTTCTTCCTGTGTCTCTCTTGCAGTTTGCAAAACACTTTGCTCTGTATGTTTTCAGGGCTTTGACTGTAATGACTTCAAGAGTTTCTTCTGCTGCTCTGTGTATCTGGAGCTCTACAAGCCTCTTGTATCTATCTGGATGTGCTTTTATGTCCCTAAATTTGGGGACTTTTTGCTAGAATTGGTTGAGAATGTTTTCTCTGCCGTTGGAATGGAGATCTTCTCCTTTTAAGCCCATATGTTTCATGGTGTCCCAAAGGTCACATGTGGTCTGTTCATAGGTTTTTCAATTTTTATGATCATCGCTGATCAAGTCTCCTAATTCCTGTGAATTGTCTTCAACTCCTGCTGTTCCCTCCCCCATATGATCCACTCTGTTGGCAAGCCTTTCCTCTGAGCATTTGACTTAATGTGTTTTTAATCTCTAGCTGTAGTTTGCGTTTTCCTGCCTGGCCCACAGTCAGGACAAATCTCTCTCACCTGCCAGTCCCACAGCCACTCAGACCCGACCAAGTAAACACAGAGACTTATATTGGTTACAAACTGTATGGCCATGGCAGGCTTCTTGCTAACTGTTCTTATAGCCTAAATTAATCCATTTCTATTAATCTATACCTTGCCACATGGCTCGTGGCTTACCGGCATCTTTACATGCTGTTTCTCATCATGGCGGCTGGCAGTGTCTATGTGTCTCAGCCTTCCACTTCCCAGCTCTATTCTCCTCCTTGTCCCGCCTATACTTCCTACCTGGCCACGGGCCAATCAGTGATTTATTTATTGACCAATCAGCAACACATTTGACATACAGACCATCCCACAGCATCTAGCCTCATTTAAGTTGAGACTTTCTTCAGTATTTCTCTTTATTGAATTACATTTTCATACCCTGTATTGACTCCTGTCTTTCATTCAGCTGATTGCTTGAATTCTCTTTCTTTGATCACATTTACATCATCCTTTTGAATTCCTTGTCTGGAACTTTATCTAAGTCATTCTCACGAAGGCTGTTACTCTGGGGTTTGTATGTTTTAGAGGAGATGAGCTGTCTTGGTTTTTCATACAACCAAGTTTTTGTATTCAAATTTGCTTAGGTCACTGGTTGGATTTTCTTTTGTATATATCTATTGGCTACTTATTTTCTAATAGGAAGAAGTAGGGTGTGTAGCTAGAGTTTTCTGGCCTGGCCCACGGTCAGGGCAAATCTCTCTCACCCGCCAGTCCCACAGCCGCTCAGACCTGACCAAGTAAACACAGAGACTTATATTGGTTACAAACTGTATGGCCGTGGCAGGCTTCTTGCTAACTGTTCTTACAGCTTAAATTAATCCATTTCCATTAATCTATACCTTGCCACATGGCTCGTGGCTTACCAGCATCTTCACATGCTGTTTGTCATCATGGCGGCTGGCAGTGTCTCTCTGACTCAGCCTTCCACTTCCCAGCTTTATTCTCCTCCTTGTCCCGCCTATACTTCCTGCCTAGCCAATGGCCAATCAGTGTTTTATTTATTGACCAATCAGAGCAACACATTTGCCATACAGAACATCCCACAGCAAGGGTAGGCTTTGAAGACTCTGATACATGGGGTGGTCAGCAGGGTCAGGGGAATGTGGATGTCCGAGACTCAGAAGTGAATGCTGACCTCCCTGGGTGAGTTGGTGGATAGACAGCCTGCAACTCTGACAGACCAGGCAGTGGGTGGGCAAGAGGCCCGTCAGGCACTGGAGGTTGGGGATCTGCAGTCTTTGAGGTACAGGGAATCACCTCATGGAGTGGGGAGTGGGTAGACAGGAAGGTTCACAGGCTACCCGCACTAGTATGTAAGTGCTGATCCACTTACCTGTGGGTATAAAGATAAGTATTTAGAAAGCAGATAGGAATTACATTGGGAGAGGAAAAGCCATAGTTGGTTCTCCTCTGAGATCTATGACCTCACTAGCAACAGGTGGTTGGTTAAGTTTTCAGTCACCAAGCATGATTTTGTTCTTGTTCAGTCAGCCTAAAGTCCAATTAGAGAGCTGTAGGGAACGGCCAACACATAAACGCCACCACTGCACCTTTAGAGGTATCTCAATGTGATGATCATCATTATGGCTCATAGGTGTCACAGCTGGGTGGGATTATTGAACGTTTTCCTCTCTTGGCAACTTGCACAGCACCTCCTGCTACAATGGAAGCTAGTCTTTGGGGAGCAGACTTTGGCACAGACACAGCTTGATTTCACTCAGTCCCATATCTGAAGTGTGTGGTGTCTTCAGCAAAAGGGCCTTTGAACTTCTAGGGCTCAAGCAAGGGCAACAACAGTAGGCTGTGTTGTTTGGGGAGTGTCATGGACTCCCCTGACCCACAACTCAAGAGAAGTTTCTCATGCCTGACAATGAAGTTTCTGTTACTCTATGGCTCAGAGGGGAGGCATTATCAACCAAGTGGAATGACTTCATTTTAAGTATATAAATATACATATACCTACATATATATATATATACACACCTACACACACACACATATATATATAATGATTATATATATTATATATATAATGATTATATTATATATATATATATATATATATATATAATGATTCTGAATGCTGTCCTTCTATACTTTTGTTTTAACTCTTTCTCCAAGTTAATTCTGGTGTTTTCTTTTTTTTAAAGATTTTATTTATTTATTATGCATACAGGGTTCTGCGAGCATGGATGCCTACATGCCAGAAGATGGCACCAGATTTCATTATAGATTGTTATGAGCCACAGTGTGGTTGCTAGGAATTGAACTCAGGATCCCTGGAAGGACAGCCAGTGCTCTTATCCTCTGAGTCATCTCTCCGGGTGTTTTCTGGAGTATCTGAGATACTGTGGCTTTGAGAAATATTATAACCTTAAAATCTAGTCAGCATTTTGCAGGTCGCTTGTCAGAGATCACCCAGGGTGTCCCTGTCAGGGCCTGGTGTGGAAGCTCTGGTTCTTACTCTGTCTTGATTTCTGACCTAATCACCCCAGAGAACACAGTACAGGGACATACACAACTAAGCAACTGAACACCAAGAAGCAAGGGTCACTCATTTAGGAGTCTGCTTCCACAGAGCCCATGTCCCACCTCTGCTAAGAGAAGAAAGGGGAATTACAGTTAGTTGGACATCTCTTTTCAATTCAGTCGTTTCCATTCCTCATCCAGTGTCATTTACTCATTATACAATAACCATGCAAAGAGATCAGAGGCCTTGAGGACCTACAGACAGTTTAGTGAAGTGTTCTCATAAGGCTGAGGACCCTGCCAGGAGAATTGTTGCTTCTTTAATGTTCTTTTAGGGTGGACATCATGCATAGGTATCATTTTGATGAAAATAATGAATTTAAAGGAAACTTCAAACTGATAATAAAGGTTGCAATGGGTAACTTCACAGAGTAAGTGGAAGTTAAACCAAGAAGTGTAAGGAAATTCCTAGGAGGAAATGAAGCCTGAGAAGGAGGCCTCTTTATAGCCAGGTCAGCACGGAAGCAGCAGCCAAGAGAAGAGTAGAAAGGCAACACTGGATCTGATGTGGTGCAGGGGCAGGGTCCTGCTTTACTGTGCCAGCAAACACCAAGGCTTTAATTAATAATCACAGATTCTCTCCTCTCTGCTCCCTTCAGCTTCTACTGGACAGAGCCATGGCTTGGGCCTCTAGCTTTGATGAATTCTTTAAGAATTTTAAGAGGGAAAGTAAAATCCTCTCTGAGGAAAACATCACCTTGATTAAATCCTACATTGAGCAAAATGACCTCCAGGAAGCACTTTCTGTAATCAACAATGCACTGAGAGACATCGAGAATGCCCCGCTGAACATTGCTGTGACAGGGGAGACAGGGACAGGGAAGTCCACATTCATCAATGCCCTCAGGGGGGTGGGGCAGGAAGAAGAAGGTGCAGCCACCACTGGAGTGACAGAGACAACCATGGAGAGAAAGCAGTATGACCACCCCAAGTTTCCCCAGGTGAAAATATGGGACCTGCCTGGCATTGGGTCCACTAACTTCCCACCACAAAACTACCTAACAGAAATGAAGTTTGCTGAATATGACTTCTTCATTATTGTCTCTTCTACACGCTTCAAAGAAAATGATGCACAACTAGCCAAAGCCATCAAAGAGATGAAGATGAATTTCTACTTTGTCCGAACCAAGACAGATAATGACTTATATAATGAACAGAAGAGTAAACCTAAGTCTTTCAATAAGGAGAATGTCCTGATGAACATCAGAAAAGACTGTTCAAAGCATCTCCAGGAGGTTCTCTCCAGTGAACCTCCAGTCTTCTTGGTCTCTAACTTGGATAGGTCTGGCTATGACTTCCCAAATCTGGAAATGAAACTCCTAAGGGAGCTCCCAGCTCATAAGCGCCACATCTTCATGCTATCCTTGCACAGTGTTACTGAGGACACCATTAACCTCAAGAGAGATTCCTTGAAGCAGAAAGTCTGGCTAGAGGCCGTGAAGGCTGGAGTATTGGCCACCATTCCACTTGGTGGCATGATCAAGGATGATCTAGAGAATCTGGATGAAACATTCAACCTCTACAGGTCTTACTTTGGGCTGGATGATGCCTCATTGGAAAAGATTGCTGAAGATTTTGACATGTCTGTGAATGAATTCAAGGTGCACCTTCAGTTTCCCCATTTGTTTGCAGAAGACAATGATGTGACCTTAGGAGACAGACTAGTGAAATATATCAAACACATTTCCTCCGTTACTGGTGGACCACTTGCTACCTGCATTTACTACAGAAAGACTTACTATTTGCAGAATCTCTTTCTGGATACTGCTGCAAATGATGCCATAGCTCTTCTTAATAAGGAAGCTCTTTTTGAAAAGAAGGTGGGACCATATATATCTAAGCCCCCCGATTACTGGGAATGATGGGAAAATGAGGCACAAGCTCCAGTCAGTACTTACTTTTCACCTTGCCTGGGACACTGACTCATAACCTTTTCCAGAGTAACAAACCTTGTCTGTGGAGCACCAGAGCGTTCATCCTTTTCCTCTTCTGGAGCCAGAAGCTCACTGTGTCAAGTGTTCAATGGTGCTGTAGCATTAGAAGAATCATCAACACTGTGTGAATGCATGAGGAAACCTCATTTACACTGAAGTCGTATGTAAATAACATATGATAATATGGATTTGATTTGCAATTCTGTTATGAAATGAATCCTAGATCTTTAGCCACTGTGAAAGTCTTCACACACTTCTGCATTCTCGCACTGCTTTGAGGGGTTTCTGAAACAGCGGCATCTGGTGCCCAACATTGTATAGACAAACACATCTCCTTAAAAGGTGTGAGCCCCACACAGGAGGCACACAACAGGTGGGGACTGTGACCATAGGCCAAGTTCCATCCCAAAGGCGCTGGGTAAAAAAAAAATAGAAGAGTAAACATACCTATAAATCCCCTTGGTTCATACAAATAAAAAATTTATTTCATTCATACCCTTCAAGGCAAATTTGAGTGAACTGGGAATTCACACTATGTGAATGGCAACTGAAACTCTTCATTTGACCTAGTGGCATTAGGAGCCTTGATATGTCACACAGTATACCCTTTTGTCCAATCAGCTCTACCCACAAATGTTCATTGTAATGAGCCATTGGTCCAGGTCAAGGCCTCAGGCACACCATGATCACGACACTCTAACAGCAACTCCCCTTGGTTATTCTGCTGTTGCCCCAAGACATGGAGAACCTGTGGCTACTGTTCTCCAGGACCAGTCCTTTCACATGCTCCAGTGGTTCATAAATGGGGTAGATAATAGGGTAGGCCAATCTAAGGCCAGTATCTGGGTCTGGATTGTAGCTGAGCATTTCAGTCCCAGCCGCTGGGATCATCCCCTTCAGTAGAGGTGTGGAACCAGCTCTCCTAGATCCCTGTCATTGGGACTAGCTCTCCTATGGCATGGTGTGGGGCGGGGCCATCTCCCTTGTGTGTTGAGGCCAGCTCTTCCATGAGGAGTGGTACCAGCTCTGCTGCTGCATTGTCCAGCAAGGGGCAGGGCCAGTGATGGGAGGGACTGGCTCAGCAAGGTCCTTGGATTTCAACACTGATGGATCCTATGATGCCCTGTGATAACATGGATCATTGACATCAACACAGACCCCAGCTGCAGCAGGAACATGGGCCTTTACATGGCCCTCAGGAGCATCTTGGGCCCTGATGTCACCATGGCCCCAGTGGAAGCACAGGCTACCCTGATCAGTATGGTCCCCAGGCAGCATGACCCTCAGACAGCAACATGGTCTCAGGTGACAGACCAGAGCCCAGGCATCTGCACAGTCCTTGGTAGTAACAGGAGCCACAGACATCAACTTAGTTGCTGGCTGCAAACTCAGACCATGGCATCTTAGTCCCCAGATTGGGGTTTATTTATTCCATTGACAGGTTAGAATGGCTAGTTGAGCAGAGACTGTGGAAGAGGGGCTGATATCTGGAGTCTCTGTTTCTAATTGTCAGGAGACACAGCTGACCCTTCTTCCTACCATACACACATTCTTACTGATGTCCTGTCTAAGCCCTGACAACACACTCCTCCTTGGTTTCACTGTGGAAGACACAACACAATGCTGGTTGTTGAAGAACTGGGGTAGATCAGCTCATTTCATCATACCTGCAGCCCTGACTCATGTTTTTCTGCCAATGTATCCTGAAATGAGGAGGGGAGGGAGGAGAACAGTAGATGGAAATTTCTACTCTCCAGTCTTGCCTTGCCCAGCACTCCTGATGAATCTATTCCACCTGTGGTCCTGCAGCTTCTTGTATAATAATCACTCATAGGCTTATATTAATTACAAACTGTATGGCCTATATATCCAGCTACTTGCTAGCTAGCTCTTTCATCTTAAATTAACCCATTTCTAGAAATCTGTATGTTGCCAGGTGGCCGTGGCATTACCAGTCTGCTGACATCTTGTTGCTCCTTCTGTGGCAGGATAGGGTCTATCCCAACTCTGCCATTCTTCTCTCTGGATCTCTGCTTGGATTTTCCACCTGGATGTAAACCTCCTTGCCGTAGGCCAAAACAGCTTTATTTATTATCCAAATGGGAGCCACATATATCCACAACATACAGAAAGACATCCCACAACAAAGAGCAGCCACTTTTGTCCCTGGATAGCAGGTTACAGGGAAGTGTATTCCTTTAGAGACTTGATTTCACAGTGAGACCTGCAAGGAAAGAGTGAGTCAAGGTCACATGTGGGAGCAGAGTCTGTGAAAAACCCAATCTGCTCACATCAGAGCTAAGACACCTCCACTGTCTCTGAGAGGAACACCAGGGTCCCTTCTTTAGTCACAAAGGAAATTGTAGAAGAACATCATCCTGGAGCAATAGAAGGTACAAGGCACTCACTGTGCCTGATGCATATGTGCATGCGTGCGTGCGTCTGTGTGTGTGTGTGTGTGTGTGTGTGTGTGTGTGTGTGTGTTTGTGTGTGTATGTGTGTGTTTGCACAAAGGTCAATCTGCATGTATGTGTATTTGTGTGTAACTGATGACCCAGTACTTGTAGCTACATACTAACCAAAGAGACATTAGTCCACCCAAGCATGTGGCTCTATCAGGCTTTGTCTTTTCCACAATTCCCTCTGCCTTGCTGAAAACAATTAGATCACATCCCTAAAACAAGCCACCAAGGTCTATTCCCTTACTTGGTCACTTCTTCCTCCTGAGATTGACTACCAAGGTCCAGTTATCAAAGTATTTGAGTCTGTCAATCAACAGCCCCCTTTGGCTCACCTAATTAACATGTCCAATCAAAATATACCACCACATCCTAGCTCACTCTAACACAGACCTCCCCTTTTTCTCTTCTTAAAAATGACACCTGCAAGGTCATTTGCTGCTGTTTTTCTGCCTGAGTCAGAAAACAGCCATTTTAACTTTTTTTCCCTCTTAATAAAGTATCTCTCTGTGAAATTAACTGTTTCGGTGTGGTTTATACCCAATATGAAGTCCAGGAGGGAGCCCCCACTGTCCCCTTCATTGGTACTGAGATTAAAATGGGCCTGTAGCCCTTTATCACCCATTCCAGTCCTTCTGGAGCCCAATTTCCTCATCCAATAGCGGCTCATTGTTAAGTCCCCCACCTTGGCTATCCTGAATAGTACCTCCCAGGTTATTGGGTGACAGCTATCCAGTGTCTACTGTCCACAATCTGTCCTGTGGGATCCGGTGAGACTGCAGCCTGCCATGAACTTCACTGACTACCGTAGACTCCCACGGACTGGCTCCTAGCTAGGCATATCACGTCAGTCTGGTTTGGTAGGGGGCTTCACCCTATCACTCTTGGTGATCACACTGTATACGGTGCCCTCTCTTCCTTGAGAACAAAACTGTCAACAGGTTGGGGATTCATCCTCAGACAAACCGAGGTCTCTGTCTTAGTGATGTTGCCTGGGTGACGCTCCACTCCCTCCAAGAGACTGTGGTGATATTGTGTTCCCCAAAATATTGTGCACCCTAATAAACTTATCTGGGGTCAGACAACAAAACAGCCACAATATTAAACATAGAGGTTAGGCAGTGGTAGCACATGCCTTTAATCCTAACATTCCAGAGGCAGAGATCCACCTGGATCTCTGTGAGTTCAAAGCCACACTGGAAACAGCCAAGCATGGTGACTCATGCCTTTAATCCCAGGAAGTGATGGCAGAAAGCAGAAAAGTATATAAGACATGAGGACCAGGAACTAGAGCTGGTTAAGGTCTTAGGCTTTTGAGCAGCACAGTTCAGCTGAGAGTCATCCAGTCTGAGGAAACAGGATCAGCTGAGGAATTGGCAAGGTGAGGTGGCTGTGCCTTGTTCTGCTTCTCTGATCTTCCAGCATTCACCCCAATACCCAGCTACAGGTTTGTTTTTATTAATAAGACCTTGTAAGATTCCTGCTACAAGAGACTGCTCCGTGGCCTCTCGGGATACACAGGCACACTTGGTATCTCAACTTTGGTCCAAGACCACCAAGGGTGATGGGTTCTGCCCCTCCATTCTGACTGACTCATCTTTGGGAATGTCACCTCCAGAATCTCCAGTAGCTACAGCACTCAGACATCAAATTTCTTAAGCTCATTTCTGCAGTACCCAGTCTTGGCCTCTATATCCACTGGACAATCAATCTAACAGCTCTCAGGATCCTAATATTATTCCGGATCTTTACAACTTTTATGGGTGCACAGAAAAATGGAAATGTTGTGCCCAGATCGCAACCCCCCAGAGAGACCACCAAAGACAAGCATGCTGGAATGCAAAAGCAAGGTTTAATTTGGGATATCCAAAAGCATATCCAAAAGCAATATAAGCCTAGGCAGGGACTTCGTCCAATACATCCAACATAGTGGAGGCTGGAGGAAGTGCCCACCTCTTGCAAGCTCAGTTTTTAAAGGCAAAAACCACAAGGTTACATCATTTAGGGGTGCTAGTATGGGTACAATTTGGATTGGCTCACTTCTAGGGGCTTTCTAGAAATCATGGCTTAATCTTACTTCTAAGGGCGTGGTTGCCCACCACCATTTCTCATTGGCTGCCCCAGGTGGGGAAATTTATGTGGTCAATTACCCTGGAAACCAGGGAGAGGACATTCCATACCTCGTGACTACCTTGTGACTCTGTACTTTTACACTTCCTGGTTTCTGGAATCTGGACTGACTGGTTTCAGTAACTAATGGCCTATCATTAAAGGAGAAATCTTAGGCCTTAGTTTTAGAGTGAAAGCATTTTGGTCTTATTTCTAAGATGGCTCATTTTGGTCTCACAGAAAGAGATCCTCTGCGTCTCTGCTTTTTCCTTTCTGTGCCCCAAGCACCACCTGTACACCTCCTGCTCACCATCCCGGCCTCCTTGCTTTCAGGTCCTGGCAGACTCTTCTGCTCCTAAAACTGAAACTCTGTCCTTTGACCCAGCCAATAAACCACTCCTCCTCATCCTCCTTGTCCTTGTCCTCCTCCTCCTCCTCATGGTCAGTTGCCTTCCCAACAATCTCCTTTGTCTGACACCCTCCCCACTCCTCCATCCACTTGGATTTCACCAAGGCCAGACAGACCAGCCTCTATGGTCTTGGCTCCCAACTCCCCTCCCTTAATCCAGCCCAGGATGCTGCAGAGTCTGCCTGAGCCCACAGCCTCACAGGTCAGGCCCCTGGGGCCAAAGTCCTCAGGTTCCTTCCAACCCACCTGAGCTCTGCTAACATTCCAACAGCACCCCTCTTTCTCCTTGCCCATCAGGCTGGGCCACACTCACTTCCAGGTCAGTCTTTCCTACTCTGCACAGTGCAGCCTGGCCTGGCAGGGAGACATCTGTGCTCATATGCAGAGCACATCAGCCTCTCCAGCACTCCTTAACAACCAGTCCCTCCCTTCTGTGCTACAAGTTCTGCAGCATGCTTAGGCCCCTGTAGGGCTAACGCAACTGACTGAGCCCCCTCCTCCTAACCTCCTTCCCCTGCCTCCTCAGCCACTTGTTCTACCTGAAGGGCTCCAATAGCCCCCACTCCTCAAAGACCCCTCCTTTCAGCCCAGTGCCACTCCCCCTTCCTTCCCAAAGTCAAACTCTCCACTGTTGATAACCAAGGAAATCACAGCACAATTTACAAATTCCTACTGTGATAACACCTCCCTTGCCAAGGCCCTTGCTGCTGCTGCTGCTGCTGCTGCTGCTTTCCCACCTTAACCCTTTCCTGTTCTGATACTGCCTTCAGTTTAAACCTAATCATAGGAAAACTATAATATTCTGTATATTCTTTAACGACAGATGTTTACTACATTCATGGTTAAAGGTTTATTTTCATGCTAAATGATCTCCAATTATCCTCAACTCAAACTTTAAGGCTCAAACTTAATAGGGATAAAGCAACAAGTCCTAACCTTATAAAAGCTGTATTAACTTATGATCTCGTAGAAAATTCACCACTCACATTCCTTGCTTGTCCTCCCCTCAATCCCTCCACACTTCTCTCTCTACCCTAACGTTCTCCAGACCCCCTTCACTCCTGCCCAGAGACTACAAAGGTAGGCAAAGACCTCCTCCCCCATTCCTCTCATATAAAAAAGGGCCTTCTAACCTACACTTCAGCCTACAGTTTTTGTAAAGATGGCAGCTCCTTCCTGTCACATGTCCACATCAGACTGACCCCTCCATTATCAGTAAAGACAGTAGTCACACAGACACAACAGCCCAACAAGCTTCAACCCCACTTTTGTAACTCACCCTAACCCCACCCCAGGTTACCCTACTACACAACCCAGATAATAAGGTAACCAAGACACCTAACCCTCCTTCAACACAGAATATCTCCTAATCCCCACTGTGTATTCATCTTCACCCTCCAGCTCCTGTTCCCTCAAGATCACCCATTCCCCACAAATCTCATCTATCTTCTCACACTCCTACATTTCTTCTGTCCAAATGATTGCCAAAATTCCTCCACCAAGTGACTCCCCTAAATTCATTAACTGTCTAGACATCCTCTGTTGTAGAAGAATAGCTGGAGATGTGTTACATTTGTTTGTGCTATAGAATATTTATTTAATGATGCAAAGATGTGTTGCATTCTTTATGTTACATTTGTTTAACTCTGTGAAGCTGTGTTCCTCTTCCTGTCTAAGACACTTGATTGGTCTAGTAAAGAGCTGAATGGCCAATAGCAAGGCAGGAGAGAGGATAGGCAGGACTGGCAGACAGAGAGAATAAATAGGAGGAGAAATCTGGGAGGAGATGGAGGAGCAAAAGAAGGAGAAGGAGAGGAGGACTCGGGGGCCACACTTTCCCTGAGATCTCTCCCCTTCCCCTGAGATCTCTCCCCTTTCCCTGGGATCTCTCCCCTTTCCCTGGGATCTCTCCCCTTTCCCTGGGATCTCTCCCCTTTCCCTGGGATCTCTCCTCTTTCCCTGGGATCTCTCCCCTTTCCCTGGGATCTCTCCCCTTTCCCTGGGATCTCTCCCCTTTCCCTGGGATCTCTCCCCTTTCCCTGTGTGTTCTCCCCTTCCCCTGGGATCTCTCCCCTTTCCCTGGGATCTCTCCCCTTTCCCTGGGATCTCTCCCCTTCCCCTGAGATCTCTCCCCTTTCCCTGGGATCTCTCCCCTTTCCCTGGGATCTCTCCTCTTTCCCTGGGATCTCTCCCCTTCCCCTGGGATCTCTCCCCTTTCCCTGGGATCTCTCCCCTTTCCCTGGGATCTCTCCTCTTTCCCTGGGATCTCTCCATGGTATCTCTCCTTTTCCAGGTGTTGCGGCCATGTCACACGACCCCCGAGTAAGACCACCACAGAGCCAATATCCAATGCAAAACACACAGGGGTTTATTGGTAACAAGCAAGCCCGGGCTTGGTCCGAGTCCAAAAAACTGGCTAGCCAGGTACAGGAGGACAGCCCTGAGCGCTCATAATGAGGGGTTTTTAAAGGGAAAAACCACAAGAAGGGTAGCAGAAGCCTTGGCGTCATATGATTGGGTGAGGGTTTGTAACCTTTGAATTTACTGGTTGGGGGTTACAGTTATCATTTTTGGGCAGGCCTGGACAAGTCCCAGGCTTTGTTCTTGCCATGGAAGCTGGATGGCCTTGCACCTTCACATTGACCCATGCACGTAGGTCTAAGTTGGTGAAGGGTCCCAGACAATAAACATCTGGCTGAACCTTGAGCAGTCAGAGTACGTGCAGAAAGGGAGCTACTGCAAGGACTATGCCTTTTGTTCATGGCCCTCCCAGAGACCATTTGTTTAAGTCTCAGGAAACTGAAATTGAGGCCTGATCTCTGAGAGAAGACTGAGCAGCCTGTAATGACATCTGCTTGGTCCTTTCACAGGGATCTCTCCCCATTACCCTGGGATCTCTCCTCTTTCCCTAGGATCTCTCCATGGGATCTCTCCCTCTTTTCCTGCTCTTGAGACTCCTTTTCTCCAACTAACAGGGCCACGAACCTAACAGTTTCAAATGTACATCTGAGAAAAAAAAAAATTCTAAACTTATTAACTTTACCACTGTCCAGGTAGTCATCTATCTGTCCTAACAGATTTCAAATCAACTACAGACTACTCCAGCAAACTCTAGCACCAATGCCAGCAGTTCCTTTGGAATCTACCTCCTGGTCCAGGATCACAGACTACACTTCCCTAGCCTCAGGTGGTACAGTAGAACTTGGACATCAACAGACAGAGTTTGCTCTTCCTGGCCTTGACCGACAACCCAGCTTCCTTGGATACCTTAACAACTATGCACCAAGGTCAGCAGAAAGCAGCCAGGGAGAATGATGCCCATTTACCCAACACCCAGCCCCCCAAATATAAATCAAAAAGGTGAGAGTTAGGGGACACTAGCCCACTGGAGCATGTAGCTCTGGCAGTCCTTGGCCTTCTCCCTAGTTCCCTCTGCCTTGCTGAAAATCATTACATTACATCCCGAAAGCTAGCCCCCAAGGTCTATTACTTATTTGGCATTTCCTCCTCCTGAGGATGACTACTAGGGTCCAGACATCAAAATATTAAAGTCCAGCAATCAACAGCCCCCTTTGGCTCACCTAATTAACATGCCTGATCAAATATACCACCGCATCCTAGCCCACTCCAACACAGACCTCCCCTTTTTCTCTTCTTAAAAATGACACCTGCAAGGTCATTTGCTGCTGTTTCACTGCCTGAGTCAGAAAGCTGCCACTTTAACTTTTCTTCCCCCACTGGGCATGGGGTGGGGGTGGCAGTGTATGGGGGTCTCCATCACTAACCTCTGCAGTTAACAGTCGGGTCAGGTCTAAAGAGCATGAGTTCAGTAGGTTCCTGGAATGGTGAGATATGGTGGTAAGTGACGAATGAATAGATCCGCATGAGGACAACACTGTTGAACACAGGAGTGAAAGCACAGCACAGAAACACTCCTCAGATCCTGCAAAACCCAGGAAAGTAAAGTGAGAAACACTTGCCCTGTGCATTTGCAGTGACCGACTCCACCCAGCCCTGAGTTCAGCAGGGTCAGTCATGAGTCATCCCACAGCCATTCTGTGTATTCTAACCGTCCCACTTCCTGTTATGCTCAGAAGAGAACGAAATGGTTCAGACCTTCCAAAACTGTGCTTCTGAGAGCCCATGGGAGCTGTGAGTGACACTTTCTCTGCCTTCTCAGTAAGACATCCAAGACCTCAGAAGTGGAGAGGTTGTGAAAGGTGTGTGTCAACGTGAATCAACTCCAGTGATTTATGACACGACACAAATACTTCTGGGTAATGTTATCTCAATTGATCTAAAAAAGAAAAGAAATAGATAAAAGGTGGCCAGAGTCATTACTCAGTACAGGAGGGTGTCACAATAATTACTCTGTTAGGTAGAGGATTACAGGGGCCTGAGATCTACCTTCACCCCTGGCTAAATGCACTGGGAGAAGTCACGCACTGGGAACAGGAGATGGTAGATCCTGAAAGAGAGGAGACAGGGCACTGAGCTTCATCGAAATTGGCATAGATTCCCTGGATATTTGGAAACATGTGGACCAAGGTTTTTGGTTGTATGGGATGGAGGATGGTGCACAGGGTAAGGTTTACCAGGGAGGCAGCAACAAGCCCTAGAGAATGGCATAAATTGTATCTTGAGTGAGCAAGGCAGATGGACAGTGTGGACTTGAGCACAGTGAGTGTTGTGTGACAACATTTTTCCTGGGTGGACAGAGCACACTCATCTACTCACCCCAGATAGAGAGCTCACCACAGACAAAGACACAGTTGTGGGGACTCTGACCAGCTCATTTATGATGAACATGGCTCTGGCAAGCCTTGCTCTTCTCTATCATTCCCCATGCCTTGCTAAAAACTATTAGGTTTCACTCCTAAAGCCAGCTACCAAAATCTATTCCCTTAGCTGGCTGCTTCCTCCTCCTGAGCCTGCCTACCAAAGTCCAGTAATCTAGAAGCATGCTTTGGCTCACCTAATTAATATGTCCAGTTAAAATTGAACACCTTATCCTAACACAGGGTTTCCATTTTACCTTTTCAAACCTCAATTTGCCTGTGTCCCGCATCCGTCTCCCCTCTGTCCAGAGGCAGTCCTTATTCCTCCAGGACAAATACCCCTGTCCTTTACACTGTTCCCTTCCCCTTTACCCTGATCCTCTACCTCCTGTCTTTGTCTCTTATTCCCTGCCCTCTGTCCCTCTGGGGCAAATAAATCTCCTTTGTGCTGAGAACTTGGTCTTGGAGGTCCTGAGCCAATATTTTTCCTTTCTCAGTTACCACCAAAGTCCAACTTGGTGAGCCAATGAGTTTTATTGGGGTTACTTACTAGAATATGTGTGAGTGGTTACAGGAGCAAGAAATACTCAGAGAGATGCATCACCAAGGCCCACCCCTGCCTGAGGAACAGCTCACAAAAGCTAGGACACCTAGTGCAGCTCAACAGGTTGGCGAGTCTCCGTTCCAAGTGACTCTGGTCTAACCCTCTTCCAGGAAGCTCAGAGTTTTCTTTGCAGGTCAGCTTTAATAATAAGAGAGGGACTCTCAGGTTTTATTACTTACTCTGGCAGGGAAGGGTCTAGCAAATTTAGTCAGTTTCAGGGACTTCCTGAAGGTATTTTGAGTTGTTTGCCTCTCTGCTTAAAGAGGTTCCCTGCAGGATGGAATGTTTCACTCTCAGAGAAACCTGTTACTCAACAGTGGATCACATTGTCCAAAACTCTGGGCAGTATGGAGACCTCAGTAGGTAGAGTTTGTGCTGGGCACCTGCAGCATAGCTTAGATAAGAGCTCCAGGTTCTGTCTGCCCATGCTTGGATGCTCTCTCTCTCTGCCTCTCTTTTCTCTCTCTCTCTCTCTCTCTCTCTCTCTCTCTCTCTCTCTCTCTCTCTCTCTCTCTCTCTCTCTCTCCCGCTCTCTTTCTCCCTCTCTCTCTCTCATCGTCCACCGGTGCTCCTCTCTACACACTGTTCTAGTAAGATCCTGCCAGTAGACACTAGAGGAGTAGTCAACTTCAGAGCTTCCCTGAACCTCAGAGAGCAACATGGTGTCTCTGCCCTGTTCCAGCTTCCCACCCCATGCATTGCGTTTTGCAGAGAAATTTTTCCTCTGTCCTCATGGAGCATACCAGTTTCTGATCCCATAGAGAAGTTGACTCTCTATTAAACTGACTCCAGGATGTCATTAACTTGAACCCCACCCTCACCCAGCCCACTCCTGGCCTCACCGGGCACAGACTTCCTAACCCCAGGGACACACAATACAGGGACAGGAATCTGATTCAGTGCTCTTCCCTGCTCCAGCATTTTCCTTTGTGGAGCTGTGGGGCTGGGGTCCTTCCGAGATTAGGTTTTAGTTCAAGTTTTGGTTTTAGTAATTCAGAAGTTTTTTATTATTATTATTTAAAAAAAACTGGCCAGGACCAAACCAAAGAGTTCTGTAGGTAAGGCCCTGACGATTGTCAGCCAAAGCATTATAAAGGTTAAAAAAACAAACAAACAAAAAACTCACAAAGAAATAATTTTGGGGAGCCAAATTAACTCATATCCTGTCTGGGTGTGAGAAAGGCTTGATTTTATAACAGATGTCCCGCAGGTGCCTCAGCCATCCAAGCAAGCAAGCGTCTCATACAAAAGCAGAACGTAGCAGTTAGCCTGTTTAATCCTGTGGCCCTTTACCCTGTAGGAATAGCTGGGGCAGGGAAATGTTTTACAACAACCAGCAATTTTTTAAGACTAGCCCAACAGCACCACGAAATGGCCCATCTCGGGTCAGCTGACAGGGTACATTCAAAGTAGGAGCAACTTCCTCATGGCTTATACAAGCTAGCAACAATGTTGTTTTTTTCAAGCACAGTAAGTTTATCCTCTCAACATGATGATGTTCACCCTCACAGTGGAAATGTCCATGAGTGCCTAGGGAGATAGTCCGTTTCTCCCTGGAGCTCACTTGGAGGCAGCCTTGCCTGATTGGTGAAGTCTGAGCCGGTGAGAATGCTGTCTCACAACAAGGTGAAGGGCATCTGAGTGACAACAGCCCTACAAACACATGTCCACTTACATTGTCCACTGGGTGAGAGAAAGAAAATCAACAGGACCGCAGCAAGCGTGTGGGGTTACAGCAAGGTCTGCAACCATTGCGCCCTGGGTTCCCTGGGTCTGAAAGTCAATACTGCCCGGCAATAGATGCCATCATCTGAGCAGAGGGGCTTGAGATAGGAAGCAGAGTGGTCAGTGCCAGGGAGCGCTGACACTGGAGTTGGTTACCAAGGTAGCCAAGCACTCAGGAAGCCCTGGAGTTCAACTCAGGCCACTTCAGCAGAGCTCCGCCTCCCTCTCTGAAGGAGGATGTGAAACAATTCAGCTGATTTGTGTAAACCAGCCAGCTGGTTCAAAGACTAGAAACCAAACCCTTCCCTCACTGCAGCCCCTCCCTTTAGGGACCAGAGAGGCAGGATTCCGATCCAGAAAATGAAGAGCAGAGAACAAAGACTGTGAGCAGGATCTGGAAGGAAACCCAGGCAGATCAGCCTTTACTTAGCAGCTGTTCTGATCTCCTGAAACTCCAGAAGCAGCACTCTGCATCCCATCTGGTTCCTGAACATCCCAGCTTAGAGGATTCCATAGAGAGCTACTCCAGTGACCTTGCTCCCAGAGAAGAGCTGACCTCTCAGAAGGGCCACTCACATCATCACTCAGGAGCAGGTATGTGAAGGATTTCTAAGTGCAGCTCGACTAAAAATCCTACTTGCTTATGACATGGAAGGTGAACTCCTGGCACCAGGGCAGAGGAGCTTGAATTCTGCTTTATTTCACTCAGGGGTTGTTCACAGTAGGGCCCTTCTCTGTCTTCTACACAGAGGACCCCAATCCCCCATCGAGGCAGCAACAATCTTTTCTATCACCTGCGCATTCCTGGGTCTGTTGCTCTTATGAGATTTTTAAACTTGGGGAAGAAGGCAGGCTGTGTAAGCAGATACCTCAGCCAATGCTGTATCCTGTTTGGGGTCGGTATTAGTTGTTGGAGCTGTTTGTTGTTTTTATTTTTGGTTTTGTTTGAGACTGGATCACTCTGTGTGCCTCTGGCTGGTCTAGAACATGAAAATCAGCCTGGCCTCCAACTCAAGGAGATTCATCTACCTCTTCTTCCTAGTGCTGAGATTAAAGGTGTGTACCACCACACCCAGCTCTGCTGTAACTGTTTCTTTACCCCATGGGGATAAAATTCTAGGATCAGAACACCCACTGGTATCACCTGGTGTACAATGAATCTGTGAGAAGCCATGAGCTTTACCTGGACCACCTGTGGACTAGGAAGGTCTTTGGGTTGGGTTTGGAAGTAGAAGCTTCTAAGCGGCTTTTTTCTCTGGCTCAGATCAACTATTTTATCTGCACTGAGGATACTATCTCTATGGCAGGGCATAAACTCCTTCAATGATGACTTTACTGAGGTTGGGGTTTTCTAAACTCTTCAGAGATTATGCCATGCTCAGTACATGAGGATCATGCAGAGGTATTTACTATTTTCTGTAATAAATCAGCACATAAATTTTTCTCTCAAACTTTCCATATGGTGGTCAAATAACACCAGGAAGTTTATTCTTTTTTTTTCAGATGTCAAAATTATTTATTTTGTCATTTAATATATTTTTTGAGAACTTCATGGATGAACACTACATCTTCCTCACTCCAGTTTCCCTCTCTTTTCATTCCAACTCTTCCCATCCCTCAATTAATGATCTATTCTTTAATTATTATCATAACACATATGTACATCTGTAATGGCAGGAAATTTACCCACATTCAAAAGTCCTTGATGTTTCTGGTATATGTCAAGGCTAGCTAGGCTGGGTTTTATGTCTGAGTCCTTTGATGGAAATTCAGATTAATTACATGAAACAAGAACCATATAAACCCTAGCATAGGAAATCTATTCATGAATATCCTTCATTTTGTATTAACTCCTTTGTTTATTGGGTAAGGCACAACCACATTTGTTAAAGTTGACCAAATAGAAGATAATGTCATTTTAAAATTTAGTGAACAACAATATAGTAGACAAAAGTGCACAATTGAGTAGTAAATTCTTTCTTACACTGTTGTGCTAGGAGTGAGCATGCACTTGGGTCCCGCATCAAATGGGTTTTCTGCGGTTGGTGACAATTGGAAGCTGCAAAGATGCTGCTCACAGAATCCGGTCCTTTCCACAGTCTAGAAGGCATGTCCAATCACTCTGCTGTGTATTCCCTGATACCAGTGTGCCGGCCTCCTTGCCTGCTTCCCCTGAACTTTCCTGCCCTTCCTTCACTTCTAGGACCTGTTGATGAGATGGTTTCTCCACTATTGACTTCTATCATGATGTGTAGTGGTTCCAGGAAGCAGGTGTGCTTTAGTTCAGAGTACACCAACAGAAATGTGTGCCAAGTGGGTTTTATGTAGTTAGTGTTATAGTGATTGTGGGGGTGTAGATATAAATACCATGGATTACAAATTGTAATTTCCTTCTGAGCTGGGTGAAGCATGTTGAGTTCCCTTTTTTTTAATTAAGAAAAAAAATTATTCATTTTTACATACCAATCAAGATCCCCCTCTTCGATCCTCCCACCCCTCCAGCCTCCCAGTGGAGTTCCTTTTATGCATTACTGAATTTAACATCTATCTTTGATCCACATTCCATGAATGAAGTCCAGGTAAGCTCAGTGTCCATGAGTGTCTTAGTTAGGGTTTCTATTGCTGTGAAGAGACACCATGACCACAGCAACTCTTATGAAGGAAAACATTTCATTGGGGCTGGCTTACAGTTAAGAAGTTTAGTCCATTATCATCAAGGCTTGAAACATGGCAGCGTGCATGGTGCTGGAGAGAGGCCGAGAGTTCTACATCTTGATCCAGAGGCTGAAAAAGCAGACTGTATCCCACACTGGGCACAGCTTGAACATAAGAGACCTCAAATCCTGTCCCCACAGTGACACACTCCTCTGACAAGGCCACACCTCCTAATAGGGCCACTCTCTATGAGCCAAGCATTTAAACACCTGAGTCTATGGGAGCCATTCCTGCTTAAACAACCACAATGGGGTTCCACTTTTCCAGTTCTTGCTGTTAGATCTAAGTCTCAAGAGACTGTATTATTATCATAATGTTCACTTGCTGACCATCAGATGTCAACTTTCTGTTTCTGATCATCTGAGGTGGGTACTGGTGTGGTTCCTAGTGATAGATCACACAAGCTATAACCTAACAAAGCAGATGATCTTCTGAAACCTGTTTCTATAATATGACCTATTAATATCCACAGATGCTGGCCATCCAATTTACCTTTCCATCACCTAGGGTGATATAGGTAGAATTTTCTCATTTCTGGGGAGTTTGGTCATGGTTTTCTAAAGAAGCAGAACTGCTAGCATGAATCTGTATCTGTTAAAGGGGGAGTTAGTAAAGTGGCTAACTAGCTGTGATCTGGCTAGTCCAACAGTAGATGTCTCTCTAAGGAAAGGCCAAGAATCCAGTAGTTATTGCATCCATGAGGCTGAATGTCATGGCTGGTCTTCAGTATACATTGGAATCCCTAAGAAGTGGGTTCATATACCAGCAAAGACATGCCCCAGCAGCAGGATAGATGAACTTGCTAGAGAGAATGATGGCAAGCAGGTAAAGAACAAGAGCTTCCTTCTTCCATGTCCTTATATGTGGGCTGCCACCAGAAGATGTAGCACAGATTTAAGGTGTATCTTCCCATCTCGAATTATCTAATCAAGAAAAATACACAGGTGTTCCCAGCTGCTTGGGTTTCAGTTTATTCCAGATGTAATCAAGTTGACAACCAAGATGAGCCATCACATGGGTATGTGAAAAGACAAAACTACAACACTTAGTTATTTCACTAACTAGTCCTCCAGTGGCTGCACCATTAGCAAAATAAAACCAAAAGATTTGGGAGAACTCACCCTTCTGTCCTGTTCTCTGTATAACAGCCCTGGCTGTAGTGGAACTAACTCTGTAGACCAGCCTGGCCTCGAACTCACAAGATGCACATGCCGCTGCCTCACAAGTACTGAAATTAAAGGCATGTGCCACCACCACCCAGCTGATACTGAGAGATATTAACTGGCTGAGTTTTTTAATCTATTGTAATCACCGAGTTTCAGGGTACCTTCTTCATACATGTCAATGTACTCTGTCCTCATCTGTGCCCCTCCCCCCATATGCCTCCATCTCCCCTTCCCTCCAGTTGATTCATTTTATTCCTCTAGCTAGTCCTTGATTCTGCTTCCCTCATACATATAACCTTGCTGCTTGATTGCCCACCTCTCTTAATTCCTCTTCAGCCTTTCATGATCCCTTCTCGAGACTGGGATCTAAAAAACACAGGTACAGACACACATGCTTTTAAGGTTAGGTTCAGCCTGAGAAATAAAATGTGGGATATTAGCCTTGCTGAGGTCTGGATTCTCTTCTCTGAACAATGATTCTAGTTATACTCACTTTTCTGAAAATGTCATGGTTTCATTTTTCTTCCCAGCTACATAGAATCTTATTGTGTCTACGTCATGTTTCCTTTGTCCATTTTTCTGTATACAGATATCTACACTGACTTGATTTCATGCATGTGCTTACATCTCTGTGGTCTGTTGACTAAGAGTCCTTCAGGTTGAACTGAATGGGATTCCTGGACCAGCGCTCAACTTTCTTAAGAAAATTCATACTTATTTAGTAGGAGCTGCACCAGCTTCTAACAGTGATGGTTCCTCTTCTCTACATTCTCATCAGCATTTGTTGTTGTTGATAATGTGTTTCGTGATGGTAGTTATTCTGACTTTGTTCAGATGGAATATCAAAGCAGCTTTAATTTGCTCTTCTCTGATAGCTCAGGCTGTTGAAAACATTTTCAAGTATTTATTGGTCATTTTATATAGTCTCTTCATGACTGTCTCTACAGCTCATTAGCGCACTAATTGACTGAATTATTTGAGTGTTTACTCTTTCAAGGTTTTGCTGCAGGCTGCAGGAATTTATCATAAGAACTCAGCTGGTTATGGCAAAGTCACTACCTGGAGAAATCAGGGAATTCCTCCAGAGGAAGCCAAATCCCAAGGAGTTTTTGGTGTTACTTGACTTGTTATATTTCAGCTGTATTCTGTTATGAAAATCATGTGTGCCTTCATAGTTTTCCCAATTGACTTTTCCCTAAGAAGGGCTAACAATGTGGACTGATCACTCTCTGGACATACTCATTCCAGGTTTTGGAGAACTGCCTCAGGAAAGGCTTTCTCTGGAATCAGATATCTCCCTTGGCCACTTTCAAGGACCAGCAGTAATAACAGTCCACATGCAAGTCTCCTGATTTAACACAAATTTCACAAGGAGACACCACCTAGGTCAGGTGGATGTTCAGTAATAGCTTTGCACAATTGAGCTCGGACCCTCCTTTCTTACAGCCTTACTAACTTTATAGACCTCTAACTCCTTATCTAATCACTTCTAGGAATATTTAGATAACCTTCTGCGCTGACAGCTATGCTCAACCCGAACCCCAGTTCAAGCCTCCCTGTAATTATCATCATTGGCAGCATCCGGCCAGGTCCATCCCCAGATGGAGGAAAGTACTTTATCAGATACCTCTGTACTCTCTAAGAACAGACTTAAGCATCCAGGCTACCTGTTTGAGAAGGCCTGGCAGATGTGCCAATTAAGCTTTACTTCCTCCTTTCCCAAACCTTACCTCTAGTTCCAGATCTCCCTTTAACTATCACCAGAGGCATCTAGCTGTACAGGTTGCCTAGCGATCGAGCACAGTTTCCCCCACCCTGCAGAAAAATGGCAGATAGCTTGGACAGATATGAGTCACAGGAAAAAAGAAGACAGTTTTATTTTCTCCCATTGACCTAGCAACTTATAGATTCTTAACATTTTCTACCAATCACGTTTTAGATTATAGCTGAGCACATAAGAGCCCTCTTCTTAGATATTACCTGAATTTAGCCTTTAGTTAATTCATTTCCCCATTGGTCACCTCCCTTTGGGGTTGCAAATGATAATTAATGGTTATTGCCTCCCTATGTGATTCTTATCACCCCTCCGTTTGACCCTGGAAGCCTGGCTTTGCACTGCTAAGGGAATACTGCTTATAAGTGTATATATACCAGGACTTCCAGGGCACAAGGAGGGCACAGAAAAGAAAAGAGAATGGAAGAACTAGATGGGTAAGAACTTGAGAGGAACAGAAGAGAGAAGGAGATGGGAGAGGAGATGATATGGGAAGGAACAAGATGGATGAGAACCTAGAAGGGGCAGAACTAGATGAAGGAATTAAGATAGATCCTAGAGGGGACCGCAGACAAGTGGAGAGAGAAATCAGACTAGTAATGAGCTAAATATGAAAGCAGAATATAAGCTTGTAACTGACACAGAATAATAAAGTATATAGACTAAGGAGTTTCGTGTACATAGATTCATTTCTTCTCATCAAAGATTAATTATCAGCTGGTTGTAGATTCTTCCTGGACCCTGGGAGGGGACTATGGAGGGGCTGGACCCCATAGTCCCCGATAAGATTTCAATTTTACATTGTCAAAACATCCAGCCTTCCTCCAGTTCTTACGCCCTTTTCATCGTCTCTTCTGCATTACACTGAGCCTTGGAGGGGGTGATATAGACTTCCCATTGATGGCTGAGCATTCAGCATCACTTACCCTCAATTCCTTGACCATTGTGACTTACTCTATAATACTCCTACTCACTATGAAGAGCAGCTTCCATGGCCAGCGTGGACAACAGTACTAATTCACAGATGCAAACACAAACATTTAGATGGAAAATTGATGGGCATATCATGCCGAATTTCACAAAACAACATTGGCAGCTCCCCCCACCCCAGAGCCTATGACCACAACAACCACGTGGTTTTGATTGCCAAAACAGAGGGTTTTCAGCACCAAAGAGTAAAAGGAGTTTCTTAGATATCACAGTCATAGGAAACCCAAGATGGATACCACAAGGAATACCACTCTTGAATCCTTAAGACTACTTCTTCTGAACATGGGTTGTGCTCTCCAGTTGAATTTGAATAATTACAATTCGTGTCAATTATTAAAGTAAAACTGAAAACCTGAAACTCAATTTACATGTCATAATATGACCTTATTTGAAGAGGCTGACAAAGCTTTGTACTTGGGTAATTTCTTTTGCAGACAAAGGTCTTGGTACTATAGCCCAGGCTGACCTCAAACTTGAGATCCATAGCACAACATCCTTAGTGCTGGTGTTATAGGTTTGAATTTGATCTTGAAGAACTCACAGTGCTTTAAAGAGGAAAATGGTCAAGGGAAAAGGAATATGAGTCAAGTCTAAATTTACATCCAGGCCAGAAGTAAATGTAGTCGGGTCCTGAGCATCTGATTAAAAGGGGGAAGAGCCCACTTGTAATGTGCGGCCATTATAGGGGTTCTGCTTTCCCATTGGCTTGCTCTGTCACAACTAATTCTTTGAACTTCCTGGTTCTTTCTTCCTTTAGTATTATCACCTGCTCCCAGTCATGGGTCAGACCTCCTCTTCTACACCCCCTCAGAAGGAGGATCCTGTTTTGACCTCCAGCCTTGACTCCAATCTTCAGAATTTCAAGATGGAAACCAAAGTCCTGTCTCAGGAATTAACCACCTTGATTGGATCATACCTAGAGGATGGAAACCTTCGGGGAACAGTTTCTGCAATCAGCGATGCTCTGAGTGACATCGAGAAAGCCCCACTGAACATTGCAGTAATGGGGGAGACTGGGGCTGGAAAATCCAGTCTCATCAATGCTCTACAGGGAGTGGGGCCTGATGAAGAGGGTGCAGCTGCTTCCACTGGAGTGACATGTACAACCACTGAGAGGACATCATACCCATACTCAAAGTTTCCCAGTGTGACACTATGGGACCTGCCTGGCATTGGGTCCACTGTCTTCCAACCACATGATTATCTGAAGAAAATCAAGTTTGAGGAGTATGACTTCTTCATTATTGTGTCTTCTGGACGCTTTAAACATAATGATGCAGAACTAGCCAAAGCCATTGTGCAAGTGAATAGGAGTTTCTATTTTGTACGAACCCACACAGATCATGATCTAATGGTTCAAAAACAGTGTAGTCCTCGGAGATTCAATAGAGAGAATGTCTTAACACAGATTCGAAATTCCGTTACAAGTATACTTAAGGAAGTTACCCAGCAGGAGCCTCCAGTCTTCTTAGTCTCTAACTTTGATGTGTCTGACTTTGACTTCCCAACGCTGGAGACCACCCTTCTAAGGGAGCTCCCAGCCCACAAACGCCACCTCTTCATGCTCACTTTGCCAATTGTTGCTCATTCCACCATAGACCAGAAGAGGGATGCACTTAAACAGAAGATCTGGAAGGAATCAGTAACGCCAAGAGCATGGGCCACCATACCATTTATGGGCTTGACCAAAAATGACATAGAGAAGTTGGAAGAGGCTTTGAACCTCTGCAGATCTTCCTTTGGCCTGGATGAGGCATCCCTGCAGAACATTGCTGAGGATTTGCACATGCCACTAGAGGACCTCAAGGCAAACATTAAGTCTCCACATCTGTTCTCAGAAGAGCAGGGTAAATCCTTAACAGATAAACTATTAGAGTACATTAGCCGTCCTTACTTTTCAAAGGCGTTCCACTTGCAAAATTACTTCATTGACACTGTGGCAAATGATGTTAAAAGTCTCCTTAGCAAAGAAGAGCTTTTTATGGAGAAGGTAAGTTCAATTCAATTCTAACACCTCTCATATTGGGAGGAGTCAGTGGGGGAAAAAAGGGTTTTCACAGTTGTTCCAGGAAGTACCTTGCTATCTCACTTTGTTGAAATGTTTCATGGTGACTTTGATGAATTTTGTCAAATCCATTTTCTGCACCTGGTGAGAATTTATCGTCTCTCTGATTGAGACTGTTACATGATGCACTCTTAAGGCTTTTCATTATAAATTGTCTCATTGCTGTATTTTTATTTCCTTTTGTTTTTAAGAAGTATTTCCATTAGATGGAATCCTCCTTGTCAATCTGCATTTGTTTCCTCTGCTTTGGGGACTCTATGTGGAAAAAATCTGATGAAATTTTTCATACCCATTTCCCTATAGGAGCTTCAAATTTTCATCTTATATTAAGCTCTTTGGCCTGTTTTGAGTTGGTTTTTGGGTAGGGTGAAAGATAAGGGTCAAGTTTTAGTTTTGCCTGGAGTCCAGTTTGCCCAGTTCCATTTGTCAACAATGTGCCCTTTGTGCAGTATTAGTTTTTGAAGGCTTACTGAGATGTTGATTGACTTGGAGGCACTCAGTTGGCTGTACATGTTTGGAGACATTTCTAGGTGTTCTCTTCTGGTCAGTTGGTTGGTCTATGGGCCTGTTTTCATGCCACTGCCATACTGTTTACTGTGGCTCTGTACTATGCCTTGAAATCAAGTATTATGATGCCTCCTAGCCCTGTTCTTTTTGATTAATATTGTTTGGGCTATTTACACTCTTTTGTGTTTCCATGTGAATTTTGTAATTCCACAGTCTACTTCTATTTTAAATGACACTGATATTTTAGATGAGATTGTATTGGGTCTATAGATCATTATGTGAAGTATGGACACTTAGACCACATTAATGTTTATAAGCTATAATCATGGGCATCTTAGCATCTTTTGTAGCTTTCTTTGAGATCAGTGTTTTGTGAGCGTTGTTCAATGCTTTCCACTTCCTTGGTTAATTATTGAAATTTGATTGCTGCCTTCCATTTATTTCCCTTCCTTCCTGCTTTTCTTCCTTTTTTCATTTATTCCTTCCTTCTTCCCTTTTCTCCTTGGCTTCCTATCTTCTGTGTGTATATCCTTGTCTATTAAAAATGAACTTTCAATGTTTCTTTCACAATGTCACACTTCTGACTTTCTAAAGCAAATCTTATATTTTCATTCGAATTTCATTCATCAGTATTCTCTTTGATCTCATTGCATTTTTGTTATTATTATATTTTAGATTCGCATACAACATGGTGGGTTATAGTATGGCATTTCCACACAAATGTGCCATTATACATTCCCATTCATCCTTCTATGTTTTAGTCATTCCTTTTCCCACTGCCTTCCACCGTGCCCTTGTGCTTGTCTGGATGGCTCCCTTTTATCCCAGAGACCATTCTTCACTTTCTTCTCATATATAATCTACTGCTCATCCTGTGTATTTCCTCCTTTAACATTTCTTCCTCCCCTCTCATGTGATTGAGATTGTTGTCATCATTTTTGAAATATTTAACAGGAATTTCATCCATTTCAATTTCTTCAGAATCTTTTATTATAGAGCTATGATCCTTTGTGTTTAACATTGCCTTGGTCATTTTTAGTAATTCTTGTCTTCTGTGTAGCAATTTGTGCCTCTCAATGGAAATCTCTCTACTTATATAGGATGTCCTTACTAAGCAACTACTCCAGAAAAAAATATGTCTTAGGAGGATGACTTGTTGTGCAATATTGGATTTATTTCACAATATACATGCCATATCTTTATTCTGGTGGCAGTTATTGAGTATAGGCTCAGTCCATTCCATGTCAAAATTGTAGAGAACTATTGTCTCCGATGGTCACACAAGACTAGGGACTCTCAGGCATTGCCAGCAACTATGACATAAATAATAGAGTATAAGTGATGCATTATACATGAATTTATGTTCGTTTCTATAGCCACAATGACCAGGAGTTCCTAAATATTGCTTCAACTTGTGAATCAATTGTGAACACAGTCCCAACACTGGAGAGGCAGAGAAAGGTAGACCACAAGGATTCATACTATATGCATGTGCACCTGTACACATGAATGCAGCATCACACACAAAATTCCAAGTTATTAACCTGAGAGTTTTGATATTTTAATATATTATTCCTAAGGATTGCGGGATCTATATTGACAACCCCCCATTCCCCTTACTGTTATTGGTGACATGGCTTCCAGGAAGGTGATTGGCAGAATCACAAAGAGAATTCCGTATACCTGAAGCTTCTGTATTGAAATCTTCATACACCAAAATATTAGAGTGAAACCAGTCTCTCATGACTGCCTGCATTTACCATGTGTTCCAGCTGCAATTCCAAAGCTCTGTATGTGTTTCTAACATCAAAAGGAAAGAATATGACTGTGAATCTATACCTTCCTCCCAAAGTTCTGGTATCTTTACAATCAGTGTTGATAAACTTGTACACTCAAAGTTAACACAAAGTCATGAAATAGAAACAGTTTTAATGTCCTTGTAAGATTATAGTAACCTGGGAGTATGTAACAGAAATAGCGTGTGACCTATAAAGTCCAAAATATGAAATCTGAGGACCTTTAAGGAAAACGTGTGGTATTTGGATAGAAACCCATGTGAGTTTGGCCCTCTGCCTTAAGAATTGAATTTCTCAGAGGAGTTTGATGGGAATACGTTTCTTCAGGGTTCTTAACTTTAAAAAATGAGGACACATGCTTTAGTGTCTTCTTTAATGTTGCTTTCTTTCTTCCTTTCTTCCTTTTCTTCCCTTCCTTCTTCCCTTCCTTCCATCCACCCTTCCTTCTTTCTCTTTCTATCTTTCTTTCTTTCTTTCTTTCTTTCTTTCTATCTTTGTATCTTCTTTCTTTTTTTCTTTTTCTCTTTATGTATCCAGTTTGGGATTTTTCATTTCTGTTGGTTGTTTCGTTGAGGTTTACAGACTGAACGCTAGAAAGCAGGGACACACAGGGAATTTGCTTACCATTGAGTCTGCTTGCTCCTGAGCCTATCGTCTACCTCTTCTGTTGAAAAATAAGGAATAACATAGACACATATCTCCTTTCAAATGATTTTTCGTCTACTTTTTAGGTTTTCAAACAAGCACATACTGCGTATTAAGAATACACCCATTAGTCCCTTTGTCCCCTGAGACAGTTTCACTTTCACTTTCATATCAAATGTACACATATAACTTATGCATCTATATAAAGTCTAAGCCCCTTGAATAAGAAATAGTATTTGTTTTTCTGAGACTGGCTTAACTGAAGCATTATGATAATCTCCAGTTTCATTCACTTTCCTTCAAATGACATAATTTGTCTTCTTTAAGTAAAACAAAGTCTATTACACACAGATAGTGATATATCCAACTCTCTGTGGCACATGTAATGAATATTGTCCACTCCCCACCTCATGGTCCTTCTCCCTTTATTCACAGACTTCACAAGAGAAACTAGAATGACTGTGCTAAGAGACCAGAAGTCATGAGGGCTAAGAAGCAATGTTTCTAAGCATTCACAAGAGGCAGAAAGCCTTTCCATGAGAGATGTTGTTTAAGATTTTTGATACACTGATCTATGCCCTCAGGATTTTTCCAATGTATGGGTATTAATTTTAAAAAGAGTAAACAGATTTAAAGATGATTTTAAATAAGAAATAAACACCAGGGTAGGAGACTGTGTGGAATAAATGGACCTCGAATTGGACAGCAAAGAAAAAGGGAAGCCGTGGGAAAAGTAGAGCCTGAGCAAGAGGACACTGGACATGCAGGCCAGAAATCTAGCCAGCAGCCAGGAACAGAGGGGAAGGCACTTCTGCCTTTAAAGAAACAGAAGATGAAGTCCTGCTTTACTATAGCACAAATCCTAGGTCCTGCTCTGCTCTACGATAATCACAATGTCTTTCTGTTCTCCTTTATTCAGCCTCTTCTACTGCAAACAGCTACAGGCAAGCTTTCCAGAACCTCTGCTCCAATGGCTCACCTTTTGGCATCCAGCTTTGAAAACTTCTTTAAGAATTTCAAGAAGGAAAGCAAAATCCTCTCTGAGGAAACCATCACCTTGATTGAATCCCACCTGGAGAATAGGAACCTTACAGGAGCAGCTTCTGTGATCAGCGATGCTCTGAGAAACATCGACAGAGCCCCACTGAACATTGCGGTTACGGGAGAAACAGGGGTGGGCAAATCCAGCTTTATCAACGCCCTGAGGGGAGTGTGGGATGAAGAAGAAGGTGCAGCCCCCACTGGGGTGGTAGAGACAACCATGAAGAGAACGCCATACCCACACCCAAAGCTTCCCACAGTGACAATCTGGGACCTGCCTGGCATTGGGTCCACCACCTTCCCACCACAGAACTACCTAACTGAAATGAAGTTTGGTGAGTATGACTTCTTCGTTATCATCTCGGCTACACGCTTCAAAGACACTGATGCACATCTGGCCAAGGCCATCGCCAAGATGAATACCAAGTTCTACTTTGTCCGCACCAAGTTAGATCATGATTTGAGTAATGAACAGAGGAGAAAACCTAAGACTTTCAATAGGGACAGTGTCTTAAAGAAAATCCGAGATGACTGTTCAAAGCATCTCCAGGAGACCCTCTCCAGTGAGCCTCCAGTCTTCTTGGTCTCTAACTTTGATGTGTCCGACTTTGATTTCCCAGAGCTAGAGACCACCTTACTGAGCGAGCTCCCAGCCCACAAGCGACACATCTTCATGATGTCCCTGCACAGTGTTACAGAGACTGCCATTGACCGGAAGAGGGATTTCCTGAAACAGAAGATCTGGCTGGAGGCCTTGAAGGCGGGAGCATGGGCCACCATTCCACTTGGGGGCTTGATCAGAGATAAAACACAGAAGGTAGAGGAGACCTTGGATCTCTACAGGTCTTACTTTGGGCTGGATGATGCCTCACTGGAGAATATTGCCAAGGATTTTAATGTGTCTGTGAATGAAATCAGGGCACACCTTAAGTCTCTCCATTTGCTAACAAGGACCAAAGACATGTCCTTGGAAGAAAAATTATTGAAATATATTGAATATATTTCCTCCGTTACTGGGGGGCCACTGGCCACAGGCCTTTACTTTAGAAAGACTTACTATTTGAAAAGTCTCTTCATTGATACCGTGTCAAGTGATGCTAAGACTCTTCTCAATAAGGAGGAGTTTTTGTCACAGAAGCTGGGGTCATGCGTGTCTGATGACCCAGAGTACTGGGATGCAGCTATGGAGCTATGAGGCATGTACCTTCCGGCTGGCTTTGGGCACTGACTTACAGCCTACTTTGAAGTAGCAATCATTTTCAGCGAAAGACCAGAGGATTCACCATCCCTTTCCTCTTTAAGAGACAGACTGTCACTGTGGCAAGTGGAAGACTTATCAACCATGTAAAAACACATGAGAAAGGCTGTCTCCCATTAAAATATCATGTATTATAATACATAGTTTTATACATATGACTTACAATATTTTTGTCCAATTAAACTTGGATCTTTTGTCTCACAGAGATTCTCCAGGCATTGACACACTTTCCTAAGATGAAGAACTTAGTTTCCTGCCTTGGTGGATATCTTTTGATGTTCATGAAGTACAGGAGGCTGGTTCCCAGCACACATCTCCACATGAAGTGGTATCTCCTGGACATGATAGACACATGGTAGATAAGATTGTGACCATTGTTCCTTCTCCCTCCAGGATGGACTCAAGAGACACATGGTAGATGGGACTGTGACCACTGCCCATGATCCCTCCAGGTAACGCATGGTTGGGTGAACACATCTGCAGGTCCTCTCAATCCTTGAAAACAAGGATATTTTATTCCATATCCTTCATCAGTCAACCTGAATGAGTTCAAACTTCAGCTTGTAGGCCGCACAAGCGCTGATTAAATTGTCTTTCCTTGTGGTAAGATCACTCCAAAACACTACCTACTGTTTCATGTCCAGTGGGGGTGTTAGTACTTTCCTTTGCTTGAGAGGATCAGCATGAGGAGCTGTAGACAGCTTATTTGTCCACAGCATCCTACTGAGAACTGGTATCACTTTTGGACATCTAATATCACTCTTTGCTAAAATTCCAGTGTTGCTTTCTGTATGTATAGCAGCCCTTCTAGAAGGTGAGTAAAGAGTCGTGCATGGGATCCCATGTGCAGAAAGCAAGCATGGACATTTTAGCTCTGCCTTGGTGTTCTTCAGAGAACAGGAAGCAATATATCATATCCATATCTCCTTATAATTATGTTTGGATCTCTATAGCATTTGTATTAATTCCTTTTATGTCACAGTCCTAAACACCTGGCAGAAACTACTTAAGAGAAGAAAGTTTTAATCTTCCTCACAGTTTTGGAGCCCTGCACTCTGTCATATGGAAGGGACCTGGTGAGAGGAAGAACTCGCTGTAGGAGAAGGCTGGGAGCGAGGTGGCAGAAAGAGCTAGGTGACAACAAGGGGCAGGAGAAACAAGTCCTGGCCCTCGTGACCTAACCCCTACCTCCTGAAGGCTCAGCCACATTCACAACTGTTTGCCGGCCGTGCTGGGGACCAGGTGTTTAACACAAGAGCATGTGGTGGTCTTCAAACCACAGTACTATCATATCCATAACTTATCATGTCTCTCTCTTCAATTTCCTCTCCTCCTTTCTCTTCCTCTTTCCCTCATCTCCCTCTCTCTTCTCTTCTTTATCCTTCTCCTCTTCTTCTCCCTGGTTTCTCTCTCTCCTTCTCTCCCTGCCTCTGTCTCTCACTGGCTCACTCTGCTGTGTGCCTTGGCAAGCACATAATCAACAGGGCAGCCTTGCAGCCTGGAATCCTTGGAAAAGTTGATAGTACAGCTTCTGTCCAAACAGTAATAATTGTTTCCTTTCCTTCTTGGGAGTGTCAAGGTTTGCTTTGGTTTATTTTTGTTTACCTCTAAGGTCTTCAATTGGTTAGACAGGGGTATTTACAGTAGAGGAGGGTCATCTGAAGTAGTCAAAGCCTCATGCTTTAAAATATAATCTCATCTAAAAATTACTTTAACCAAAACATCTATACTGGTGTGTTGCTTGCTCTGCAGCTGGGGTCCCACTGTCTCTGATCCTGGGGGGAGGGGGTGAATAGACACAGAACCAAACGACACAGGCTCTTGGAGATTGTAAGCAATCTCGTTTATTAAACAAAGGACTGAGGTATTTATGTGTATACTTTTTGGTGGGCTCTGCTTCCAGCTGCTGTGGTGTTTCCTGGTTGGCTCTGGGTCATATGTCAACAGTGGTCATCTTGAGGGTCCAGTTTCAGGTTCCTCTGGGTCCGGATACTACTGCACATGTCAGATCTCTCTGTTAGCTTAAGGCACAGCCCAGTGCTCTAGGCCTTATCTGCCTCACTGGTGTTTGGTAAATACTTGGGTACTGTCTTTGTTAGGGTTTCTATTGCTGCAAAGAGACACCTTGAGACCGGCAACTCTAATAAAGGAAAAAAATTAATTGGGACTAGGTTACAGTTCAGAGGTTTCATCCATTATCATCCTGATGGGTGGCATGCAAGCAGACCTGGTGCTGGAAAAGGAGCTGAGAGTTCTGCACCTTGATCCACAGTCAGTAGAAGGAGTCTGTGTTCCACACTGGGCATAACTTGAGAGTAGGAGACACGAAAGCCTGCCCACCCTACAGTGACACACTTTCTCTAACAAAGCCTCACTTCCTCATAGTGCTACTCCCTAAGGAGGCCATTTTATTTCAAACCGCCACAGGTACCATCACCTAGACAAGATAATATGTAAACTTAATTTCCTCAAGCCCCGTAATTATCCTAACCCACTGTATACCAGCATATATATGCAAATATATATATATAGTTAAAAAGTTATAGTTACAATGTACTTACTTGTAGATACAGTGTGACAATGTGACTCAAATAAACAACACATAATTATCAAATCTTGAGAGATGGCTCAGCAGTTAAGAGCACTGACTGCTCTTCCAGAGGACCTGGATTCAATGGCCAGCATTCACATTACAACTCATAACTGTCTGTAACTCCAGCTCCAGGGCATCTGACACCCTCAGAGAGACATGCATGCAAGCAAAACACCAATGAACATGAAATAAAACTAAATAAATCATTTTTTAAAGTCTGAGAAGTCAGGCTTCCATATTCTTACTCATATTAAAATTATTGTTACTAACAGATAATAATTGCCACTATTAATAAGTCCATGTATATAGTAGATGCTGACCAATTGAGGATACATTTATCATTTTACTGTCCTTGCCCAGTCTCTGGGGCATCTGAGCATCTCTGTTGTGCTCATTCATAAAGAGCATCACAGGTTATTTTAAAGAATAATCTCTGTGCTGCAGCACATCACAACCTACTCCTTCCATTTAACCCTTTTGGGACCTGTTCTCCAAACTCTCTCTGTTCCTCTCTTCACCTTTCTAGCTTCTAGGAATCACTATTCTACAGTCACATCAACCACTGGAGTGTACCACAGCAAGTGTGTAGTATTCCTAAGTAATTTCTACTCTTCCTGATTCATTGTCCTCTGTGACACCATCTACTGAGCAGTCTGCTCTTGGTGACCACTTACCTGCCTCTGTGTCATGGAGAACACCCAGGACCCAGTCTCAAGGAGGCTTTAATCTATTTCTGTGTGGTTCAACACTAACAGTCACAGTGGGAAGCCATTACTGTAGTGTATGTAGCAAGGGAAGCTGTCAGTAGAGAAGTCCATTATGAACAGGAGGCTTCTTGTCATGTATATGGGAAGTGTTTCTATACATCACAGGTTTGTGTGTGATGGTTTATATGGACTGTCAACATGACAGGATCTAGAGTCACATTGGAGACAAATCTCTGGGAATGTCTGTAAGGGATTATCTGATTAAGTTAATCAAGATGGGAAGACCCGCCATAAATGTGGGCAGCACCATTCCCTAGGCTGGAGCCTTGTACGGCATAAAATGGAGAAAGCCAACTGAACACCAGCCTTCATCTCTCTCTGCTCCCTGACTGCAGGTGCCATGTGATCAGCTGTGTTTCCCATCACAACGGACTGTAGCCTTGAACTGTGAACCCAAATAAACTCCTTCCCTCTTAAATTGTTTTTGCCAGGGTATTTTATCACAGTAACAGGAAAACTAATACAAGTAACTGTGCGGCTAGGCAGTTGTGGCACACACCTTTAATCACAGCACTCAGGAGACAGAAACAGGAGATCTCTGTGAGTTTAAGGCTAGCCTGGTCTACAGAGCAAGTTCCAAGATATCCAAGGCTACACAGAGAAATCCTGTCTTAGGATTTCTAGTGCTGTGAAGAGACACCATGACCATGACAATTCTTATAAAAGAAACATTTAATTGGGGAAGTTCTATCACAGTTTCAGAAGTTCAGCCCATTATCATCATGGGTTTTTTCTCCTCAAAATTTACATTTTGTAATTTACTCTGCTCAGATTGTTCCTTTTCATTATAAATCTTCATTAGAGTTAACACTAATAACTACAATGAAAGAGTCTATACTAGGCTATTTTGAGAATTTTTCTGCCAATGGAATTAATCCAAAAGTCTTAACTTCAACCTCAGGCAGACTCTTTGGACAAGGGCAAAAGGCAGCCACTTTCTTCACCAAAATATCACAAGAATGATCTACTAAGGCAACATACTAAAATTCTTCTCCTCTGTAACCTCATGAGCAAACTCCCACAGTTCTTCAAATCACATTCAACACCACTGTCTTCCATGCTCATACTAGTATGGCCCATTAAGCAGTATTTAAAGCATTCAACTGCTTTTCTAATCCACAGTCCCAAGGTACTTGTTCCTTCAAAAAAAAAAAAAAAAAAGCATGGTCTGGCCCATCACAGCAATACCTCTCTCCTGGTACCAACTTCTGTTTGAGTTAGGCCTTCTATTGCTCTGAAGAGACACCATGACCATAGCAACTCTTATAAAGGAAACATTAAATGGGGTAGCTCAAGGTTTCAGAAGTTCAGTCCATTATCATCCAGGGATCATGGCAGCATGCAGGCAGACATGGTACTGGAGAACTAACTGGGAGTCCTACATTGCAGGAAACAGGAAATGTTCTGAAAGTAGGAGTGAGGGAAAATTGAAAAAAGAGACCTCGAAGACCACCCCCACAGAGACACACTTCTTCTAATGGGGCCACACCTACTCCAACAAGTCACACCTCCTAATAGTGCCACTCCCTATGAGCTTATGGAGTCCAATTACTTCAAACTACCACAAACCTTATCTCAAAAACAAACACAAAACAAACAAACAAAAACAAAACAAGTAATTGCCCATTGATTATCAACAATGAGCTTCTACCAATTCAACTTGTGGTGTATTGCAAACGTCCAGTCTATTTATACTATGTGTGGTATTGATATGTGGTATGTGTGGTAAGTGTGGAGTGAATGAGCATGAATCCTGCCTGCAGTTTGTTGAAACATCAAAATGCTGTACTAAGTGATAAATGCTTAAAACTGTACAAGGAAATCACTGTTTGAACACAAGAGAACAAAAGCTGTAGGAAGACAGTCCTCATGGACATTCCAGACCCAGATAAATACCCAGAGGAATACCTGAACTGCACATTTTGCAGCTGTGTGCCTTCACTTCTATGTCTACAGTGAATGAACGACTAGACAGGACAATCTCACTGTCGAAGCAGGACATCAGAAACTTCAGTCCCAAGTGCACACCCAGCAGGGAGGGATGCCAAAGTCCGTCTGCACATTCAACCTCACCCTAAGCAGCAAAACAATCATTGATTTTTTTTTTCTCATTAGTCCAATGAAGTACGGAAAACAAACAAGAAGGAAGCTATGGGAAATCTAAGGCCAGTTCTAGTGTCTGCAGATGGCATGGAGTGTATGTGTCCACGCATGGAGATGTGGGAGCTTGAGAGACTATGCCCTGGAGTCCATTGAGCCTCCTCCATTGAGTTATGGATTCTGTGAGAGGGAAAATCCATTTTCTTTAAAGACGGGCATGAATCCTGGTAGAAAAAAAGAGTGACCCCACCCTCATGGACAGCACAAATTGGACTCTGGATTGTAATTTATAAAAGAGACAAAGATGACATGAATTTGGAAGGAAATATGGGATGTAGGAGTGGGCCTAGGCAGAGTCAGGGGAAGACTGGGAGTGAATATGATCAAACTGCATTCTGTGCATGTATAAAATACTCAAAGTATTAATAAAAATTATACCTTTTAAAATATTATGGAGACAGAGGAAAGGGGGGGACAAAATTGCTTTGTTTTAAGAAGGACAGACAAACATGTTTGTGGCCTTTGGTCCTTTCTTCCTGACTGCAGCTGGCTCTCTGGCCCTGTCTCCTTATAAAGAGGGAGCTTATCTTCTTAGAGATTTTCTCCAAGAAGCTCAGGCCCAGGTTTCCCTTCCCTCAGTGTGGGGCATAGCTATGAATGCTGTGAAAGGAAGCAGTTTGGTTTCAGAAATGATTTATTACAGAAACCTTCATCCTGCTCTGGTGAGGTGTGTATCAGGAGGGGCTGGAGAGATGGCTTCATGGTTAAGAGCACTGGCTGTTCTTCCAGAGGACCCAGGCTCGATTCCCAGCACCCACAAGATGGTCTGACTTGGTCTTCTCTCGTTCCCAGTCATTTCAATTCTTGTTCATGCCAAGGGGAGGATGCTACAATCCCCTAGATGACTTCCAGTTATACAGAGTAAAAAAAACAGACAGACAGATGGAAAGAAAAGGACAGGCTTGGTACTGAGTGAAGATACAGTTACAAACCTTTGATACAGGTGCTTGCACCTACCCCCAACCCTTTCCTGCTTGAGTGGGAGGAAGCCAGGCACAGAGAAATGGGTGATGGTGCAGCATAAGAAAGAGGAGATAGGGCAGTGGGATCAGGCAGAATGTGTGCTCAGGTCAACAGAGCAAGACGCTGGCAGTTCAGGGCTGCATGAGACACCTAGCTCCTATCCTGCCCAGCCTGTCTCCTTCCAGAGTAGGACCCAGGCTTAGCTCTGCCCTCGACTCCTGCTCCTCTTTATTCAGATTTTCATGGAGAACTTCCAGTAATTACAGAACAGCAGAGGGAATGATAGAGCGGCCTGACCTTCTGAAAGAAACATGGCTCCTTGGGCCCTGCACCTACTTTTCCTAGAAGACCCCTCACCCACTCCACCTTTCCATCTTGGGAATATCATGAGTGTGTTATTGCTGCTATGACTTATGAACATACCCAGTGCCTGGCTCCATCCAGGAGTCAACCATTAACCAAAGGATTCTAAGCTGTTAGGAAACTGAACTCCCCCTCCTACCCCAGCTCAGTGCCTCTTCCCACTAAGATACCTACATACTAACAGGAGACCACTTCTCAGCGTTCTTGATGAAATCATCTCTCTATGAAGATGGTGATGTGGGAGGAAGCAGGTGTGAGACAGGACCCTGTGTCAGGGAGCAACCTCGGTGACTGTGTGCAATCATCTGAGGGCCAGAATGACTCTCAGAGTCAGTATTGTCCAGGGTAAGATGAAAAACACTGGGTGGATGGGGTCCAGGTGGGGATTTACACAGTCAGACCCAGGAAGGCCTGACCCTTTGACTGAACTGTGATCATCTCTGGGCAGATTATGCAAAGTCTGGAGTTCGGCTAAGACCCTCTGAGAAGGATGAAGAACTGGCTGAATATGCAAACAATGTCCAAATATAGGAACCAAACCAGCCCTCACTGCTGACTCCACCCTATAGGGTCTGGGCAGGAAGAACTGAGGGGTAGAAATCATAGAACAGAGAACAGGGACTTTCAGTGGACCAGATCTGGAAGGAAACTCAGGAAGATCAGAGCACTCTCAGCTGCTCCTCTTTCTTGAGCTCTGGATGTCCTAGGAGGATTTCAGAACTTCTCACCTCACCCCTTCCTTTCCTCGTCTGGATAAGAGTCGTTGGAGGAGCTGGGCAGTGGTGGAGTACACCTTTAATTCCAGCACTCAGGAGGCAGAGCCAGGTGGATCTCTGTGAATTCGAGGCCAACCTGGTCTCCAAAGCGAGTTCCAGGAAAGGCGCAAAGCTGCACAGAGAAACCCTGTCTCGAAAAACCAAAAAAAAAGAGTCGTTGGAGGATCTTTCCTCAAGCCTTTCCTCAAGCTCTCCCTGAACTCAAGCTATTTCCTTAGAGAGAGAGAGAGGAGACACTTCAGGAGGAAAGTGGCATCTAGCCACAGTCATTCCATAGCAAGTAAGTGGAGGGCCTCACTTACTTTTCCTATTCGTTTCTCTGACAAAGACAACTTCAAATCAAGGGTGTATTTTTGTTTGTGGTTTATGAAGAGCTGCCATCTGTCATAGTTACTTAGCTATTACTCTGATAAAACACCATGACCAAGCAACATGGAAAAGAAAGCATTTGATTGGGGACTTATACCCACAAGCAGCTGGCACAGAGAGCTAACTGGAAATGGCATGGACTTTTGAAACTTCAGGGTCACCTCCAGGGACACACCTCTCCAACAAGGTCACACGTTCTAATCCTTCCCAAACATCCCACCAACTGTATTCAAAGTGTTCAGACCTATGAGCCTATGGGAACCATTCTCATTCAAACGGTCACACAGTCCATGGTGGCACCAAGGTATGAAAGCAGGAGCATGGGACAGTTGGTCACATCACACTGCAGAAACAGAGCAACAAAAGCTGATGCTGGTGATTTGATCTCATCTCTGCCCTCAGTGCAGGAAATGGTGCCACCCACAGTCAGGGTGGGTCTTGCTACCACCACTAAACCGCCCTAGAAATACACCCACAGATACAACCAGAAGTTGGCTCTCTACATAATTTTAAAGTCAATAAAATGACAGTGGAGACTAACCATTAGAACCCTGTTTGTGAGCTAACATGAAATTGGACTCCTGACACCAGGACAGGAGAGCTGGAGGTCTGGTTTACTCCACACGGGGAGTTCACCTCAGGGCCCCTTTCTGATGCTTTTCTTTTTAAAGATGTATTTAGTTTTTTTTTCTGTCAATGAGTGTTTTCTTCCTGTATGTAAGTGCACCATATGCATACCTTGTGCCCACAGAGGGCATCAGATCCTCTGGGATGGGAATTAAAGAAGGTTGTGAGGCACCATGTCAATGGTGGACATTGAACCTGGGTCCTCTGCAGGAGCAACAAACGCTCTTAATCTCTGAGGCACTCTCCACCCTTCTGATGGTCTTCTGCAGCAGCTAGCAGACATTATTTTCTGCTTAAACTCATCCAACACAACAGTGAGGAGATGAACATCCCTTTTATCTGCCTACTCGTGCTTCCTGGCTCCTCTGATGGGGCTCAAGTCTGGGGGAAAGTGAATAGAATGTGCTACTCAGATCTAAGGGAATCTCTACTGGAACCTCCTCATTTTCCTTAGAGGGTTAAACCCCCACTGTCAGAACCACCCACAGACAATACCTAGGTTACCCTGATAGTATGAGAACTCATGAGCCCCTCACCTACATGATCCCTCACCTACATGACCCCTCACCTACGCTACCCATGGAATAAGAATCTCAAGATAGGGTTGAAAGGCTGTCTGTGTGCCCTTCCAGTTTGACTCAGCTCAAGTATTTTATCTGCATTGAGAAGCCAGCTCCAGAGTCAGGCACAGACTCGTTCCTTTGTACATTTGTACATTCCTTTGTACGGTAATGAATTGAGAGCTTTTCAAATTCCCCTTTTTCCAATTTCCTGATGCGTGCCCTGTGCGCCCCTGATGTTGTCAATCATGAGGAAGCATATCGAGTCTTTCTGGAATAAATCAACACACTGGTTTTAGCTCACTCTCTCCTCCTGCTGGACAAATGGGGAATGAAACCAGGAATTCGACCTGTTGGTGGTGGCGAACACCTTTAATCCCAGCATTTGGGAGGCAGAGGCAGGCATATCTCTGTGAGTTCAAGGTCAGCCTGGTCTACAAAACAAGTTCCAGGACAGCCAAGGTGGTTACACAGAGATAACCCTGTCCCAAAAAACAAAAACAAAACAAAACAAAAATATATGATCAAAACCAGGATTTTGATCTATATAAGCATCTATGTTCACAAAAAGCTACTGAATTATTAAATCTATAACTACCTGGCTGGTTCCCATATCACTGAGTTCCTTTGATGAGGACCCTGTCAAGGTGGACAAGGTATGAACTTCACAGAACAACACACAGGAAATGCTCTCGGGAATATTAGTCACTGTACTACAAAAGCTACTAATTTTATTGGGTGGAATATAAATGGACTTTTAAAAGATTTATTTAGGCCCGATGGTGGTGGCACACACCTTTAATCCCAGCACTCAGGAGGCAGAGGCAGGCAGATCTCTCTGCGTTCGAGGCCAGCCTGGTCTACAGAGTGAGTTCCAGGACTGCCAGGGCCACACAGAGAAACCTGTCCAAAAAATGAAAAAAAAAAAAAGAAAAAAGAAAGTTATCTATTGTTTGTATTTATGTATATGTGTGTGAGCATCATACAAACGCAAGTGCCTGGGGAGCCCAGGGGGCTTTGGATCCCCAGAGCTGGAGTTTCAGGTGGTCGTGAACCACTTGATACAGCTGCTAGGAACTAAACCCAGGTGGTCCACAAAAGCAGCAAGTGCTCTTAACCACTGAGCCATTTCTCCAGGCCATAAGTAGACTTTTCAAGTTAACCAACTGGAATAGAATTTTTTTTTTTTTTTTTTTTTTTTTTACCTTCAGAGACATAAGATCCCTCACCTAACCCAGAATAGAATATTTTTAATGCAATTCAACGGAACATGGGAGAATAGACCGAAGTTTGTGATTGAGTGGTGAATTCTTTCTTTCCAGGTATGTTCCTTCGGATCTATCCTATGTGAAATGGATTTCTTGCTGTTGCTATGACTCATAATACTGTAAAGAGGCTGCCCTCAGAATCGGGTCAGTCTGTCACTCATCCTTAGATATCAGTGTTCGAGCCTCCTTGTTTCTGTCCCCTAAACTCCTCTGTCATGCCTCCAGTGTATGGAGCTTTTGAAGGACCTCCGCACTTAGTCCTATCTTGAGCTTTAATAGCTTCAAGAGGTGGGTGTGCATGGGTAGACGGGTGGAGCACACTCATAGTGCTGTTAAATGTCTGGTATTCTGGTACTGGTATGAATAGTATGGGCTACCAGCCTTTGCTTTC